ATAACCTCTTTTTTCTTTCTTCGTGTCGATTTGTGTAACTTTGTTCATAGTGAGGTTTGATTCTTGTCGCACAAATGGTCATTCGTTTCATCCCTTGAGAATTAGATTTGAACTTGGCATTCTGAGAACTAAATTTAGATAAGTGACGCACATTCTTCCTTATCTCCATTTCCTGCATTTGTTTTGTATTTGAACCGTAAACTGAAATTTTTTTATCAAATAAAAATTCATTATCAGCATTAATTATCAGTTAAAGTATTAATTATCAGTTGAAGTATTAATTATCAGTTATCAGTATTAATTATCAGTTAAAGTTTCCTTTTTCCTTTAACATTAATCATTTTGTTATTTTAGTTGAAATTATTGCTAGTATTGCATAATGAATTAATATAACACCTTTTTTTCTTTTCTTTCCTTTTTTTTTTTAAGACAAAAAAAAGCAAACGAAATTTTAAGAATTAGTTTAATTTCAATTTTTTCCACCATTTAATAATTCAAACTTTCTAATCGAAATAGAATTTAATTTCTTGAGAAGAAAATTTGAAAAATATGAGAAAATTTTATGTATATAATACAATTAATTTTCAGTAATTTATGTCGAATTTTATTTTTGAAAAAATAAAATAGAAAACAATCGAATTTTATTTCCATTTTTACTAATTAACAAATTAGCATATAATGGTAATAGTGTTTTTGCGAAATATTGTATTTATAAAATAATTATGGCAGTGAAATAGGGAATAAGGAGAATTATAAACAAATGAATTATAAACAAAATTCTAAACGAATGAATTAATTACTTAATTAATTAATAAAATTACAACCTCAGTAACATTTGGAAAGAATGTCCTTTGATAAGTAGATGGTATACATTGTATATGTACGGAATCTTCAGCAGCTTGTCCATCTAATGTTTTTAAATAACATTGAAAAGAATGCCATCGATTAAAATCCATACTTGATAAGCCAGCTGTGATCAATTCAACGATTCCCATATCAAGCTGATAATAATAATTATTATTATAAAAATAATAATAATGATAATAAATACTAATTTTAAAAAAGTAATTTTATGATAAAATTGCAAAATTAATTTTATATATTTACCGAAACATTTCGAATCGATGGTGCTAATAGTTGTATTGCTTGAAATAATTTGCTAATATCTTTTGGTGTCCATCTTTCATGAACAATAAACATA